AGAAAACCTAACACCCAACCTCTAATAAAATCCCCCTCATAAAACTTTAGCTGCTTTAGGTTATGCCTCTTCACAGAGATAATTTAGTTTATGAATGTATGGGAAATTAATTTAATAGTTCAGTTTGGATTTTTTCATGTGGAGGTGGTTTTTTGGGGGGTTTTATTGGGTGGGGGTGTTTTGTTTTCATTTTGGTGCTGGTTTTTTTGGGGTGGGTGTGCTAGGGAACAGGTAAAGGGTTTGGTTACTCACCTATGTAGTGTCCATTGAAATATCCTTCACAGTCACAGTCTTCTGAAAATTCCACAGTGGGGCAGGGCACAGGGGAAAGGAGTGAGAGGGAGGAAGGAAATATCAGACAATGAGTGTGATACAAGTTTGGCTCATTGGTAAGGAAAGCAATTTTCTATCCTGCATTGTTTGCAGGTACTTTTTAAACATAAACTAAAAAATACTTGCCTTGACTAGTGGTTCGTATTTGAAAAAAATCCTTGACTTTGATATTGAACTAGAGAATTTGATATCTTGGTATTTACAGTTCCCAGAGTTTATGGAATTCAACAGGAAATATGTGATATTTAGAAAGGCAGCTGGGACATGACATACAAACTGCATAGGCCCAACAGAATTGCTCTTAATGAAAATAACACAGAAAACAATGCAGACAAATCACTGAGAATGAACATGGGTGCCCTAAAATGTTAAACCCCAATATTTCTTTATTTTTAATCATACCAGATGCAAAGACTGCATTTAACTCTTTGAACCTCACTCAGAAACCTGCAGAACATGTAAATACACCTTAAATCTTTTCTCTTGAATCAGAAAAGCAAAAATTTTTTCTCTTGAATCAGAAAAGCAAACTTGGAAGTCACCATTACTTAAGTCATCACCCTGAACTAGATTACTTGAAATAATAATTCACAAAGAAAATGTCCTAGGAACAATAGATCTATTCTTCCCTTTGGAATTTAAAAAAAAAATATTATTTTTATTTTAGAAAATACTTTGGTTGTTTATATTCAGACAGAAAGTGAGTTAGAAGAGCACCTACCTTTGTCAGAAGACTGATCATCTATAAGTTAGCATGAAAGGCAGAGTTGGGATGATATTAAAAGATGGACAAATAATTGAGCAAAATTAGAAAAAATGGAAAGGAAGGTTCTGGTTTAATTTGCTTTTCTATCTTAAAAAAGTACTGCAATACAATCTCTCAACTGATTAAAGAATTTTGGGCAGAAATGGAGTTATTATAATCAGTTATCAACTTAATTGTCTTGAAAACATCTGAGCTGAAGCTTAAGCAGCACTCCTCATTACCTGCCTTTATTTTCATATGAATCCAGAGTGGTTTCATGCACTCATATATGAATTTCCACAAGATGCATTAGGTTATTTATGCAGCTTTCAAGTTTCAAATCACAGAAAAAGTGTGAGCAAATGTTAAGGCATCTAAATATGTGAGGCCAGATGTTCTTGAGAGGGACAGCTCTGAGTTTTGAAAACAATAAATACTTAACAACAATCCAACCCAAATCCTCCTCCTCCCTTGTGTCCATGCATACCAACCAATGGCAGCTGGTATTTAAAATATCAATCAGTGGTGAAATAATTGTTGAAATAACAGGAAAAAAGTGAGAATTTAGTATCAATTCAAGCATCACTGAAAGAACACATCTGACTTACATAAAGGTTTCTTCAGAGTTCTGGTATTCTGCAGAGTGCCTGTTGTTCTCCTGTAAGTCAGTCGTCTGAATAGGAAATAATTCTATTTTAGATATGTACACTCAGAATTATAGAGAATTTATAGCATGGAAAATAAAGAATGACAGTGCTTCTCCTAAAAAAAAAATAAAATGTCTCTGATTCAACTATTTAAAAGGCTTTATTTAAAACTATGACAGTTTTAGATTGTTACCCAGATTACTCAAATTATTTTCATTCCCTCCATTGGCAAGAGAATGAATAGAAAATTCTGAAACATTTTATGCTTTCATATATCAGAGCATAGAAATCAATAGTTTATCAATCTGGTTTTTTTTTTCCTATTTCCCTTTTGCCCACATGATCTTTTTTTGCAACATTAAGAAAAGTAGAAAACCTTTGTCCAAAGCAGTCACTGAGCTGTGCATAAGTAGAAATTATCCACCTTTTTCCAGATAACTTGGGAAGTTTTCTGTTATTTACTAGTAAAGAAAGCAAGTTACCCAGCTTGTGTGAAAATGTAAGAACAGAGCACCAAGTAAAAACTTCCTTAAGTGTTAAAATCAAGCTGGAAGTTTATGATATAACTGGAGAAGACGGAGCTTTTTAGCACTTTCCTCTTGGCTGTATTTACCCTGGCATGACCATGACTTTCATTTTCTGTGAAAAAAACTTGGCATTGTCATGGATATATTTTATGAAAAATCCTTTTGACAGGATTTTTCTCCTGAGAAGCTGAGAGGCCTCAGAAACAAAATGTAAACAATGGTTATCTGCTGCTGTGGAATGCAACAGGTGCATCTGTGATTGGTCTCATGTGGTTGTTTTTAATTAATGGCCAATCACAGTCCAGCTGTCTCAGACTCTCTGGTCAGTCACAAGATTTTATTATCATTCCTTGCTAGTTTTTCTGATGAAATTCTTTTTCTATTCTTTTAGTATAGTTTTAGTATATAATTTTAATATATACTAAAACTATACTTTTAATACAATATATATAATAAAATAATAAATCAGCCTTCTGAACCATGGAGTGAAGATTCTCATCTCTTCCCTCATGCTGGGACCCCTGCCAACACCACCACAGGCATAAAATCAATTTATCAATATAGTGACAACTGTATACACGTGAAAGAAAAATAAAACCTGTCATCTTTGCTGCCAAACCTTTCTTGGAACTGTTTGGAGGGGATCAGGCCTGCTCTGAGGTTGGTGTCCCCCACACGCTTGGCCTGCCACCACGTGGGATCGTCCTGGCTCACAACCTCCAGCACGTGGCGCCGCTGGAAGGGCAGCCCGGCCTCCTGGCAGGGGATGGCTCTGTCCTCCCTGGGGTTATAGCAGAACAGTGCCCTCATGAACACCTGCAAAACAAAGGGAACATGGCTGGCAGGATTATTAACTTATCAGAGTGGCCCCAGAGAAGTTTGAAAGTTGCTTTTCCCAGCCTGGCGTTTGAAGGAGTCAGGGCAGGGCTCTTCATTTCTTGGTCTCAAGGTTGTTTTATCTTATCTTATCTATAAAAAATTTTCTCCTGTCCTGATGAGGTCAGCCCAGCAGGACAGTCTGAGGCACTCTGCCTGCCCTCAGGGCTGTGTTATGTCTTTATACTAAAACCTCTGTGTACAATATTTACAATTACTTCCCAATACCCATCACCTGTGTTAGACAGTGAGCTGCTACTCTAAACCAATCCCAAAGTGCCAACTCACAGCAGAAAATGGAGAACAAGAAGAAGAAGAAGGAGAAAGGCTGGACACGCCCAGTTCCCTCCATCTTGCCTCCTGAACCCCCATTCTAAAAACCCTAAAATCTACTTTTCCACCTTGTGATAACTTCACTAATATTCTACTTAAACTGTTGTGGCTTGCTGATGTTCATACAAGGTTGGTAATTTGCTCCATGGGTCATAATCAAACCCACAGGGGCATTTTGTGCTCTGTGCCAGGGTCCCTGAGACCCCTGGCAGGGTCTGGGCTGCTCAGGACAGCCAGAGGGATGTGCTGGCTCCTGACACATCATTTCTTCTTGTCCTATCTGGAATTTGAAATGTCTGCCTTTAAAAGGCTTTCCCCAATGCTAACACTGCTAATGATAAATACACTTTATTCCTCCTGCAAGCACTCAAAAATATAAACACCTGGCAGCTTATGCAGTAAAATAAGTTAACTTTCCAGGATATATCCAGTAATTATGGAATTGTGGAACATGAGACCCAAAAGACCCAAGTTCCAAGAAACACAGATCACAATCTACATTAAGTACAAAATGCAATAAAGGAATGGTTGAAAAGAAAATAAGGGAAGGGAGAAAAAAGTAAAAATGGATTTTTGTTGCAGACATCTTTTTATGAAAAATCTTTTCTTAAGATTTTTCCTTCTGAGAAGCTGAGAGGCTTCAGGAACAAAATGCAAACAATGGTTATCTGCTGCTGTGGGATGCAACAGGTGCATCTGGGATTGGGCTCATGTAGATGTTTAGAATTAGTGACCATTCATGGCAGAGCCAGCTCTCCCTCTCTGTCTGAGCCACAGACCTTTGTTTTTTATTCTATTCTATTCTTAGCTTAGCTAGCCTTTTAAGATGAAACTTTTCTATTATTTTTAGTATAGTTATAATGTAATATATATATATAATAATATATCAAGCTTTCTGAAATGTAGAGTCAAATCTTCATCTCTTTTCTCATCTTGAAACCCCTGTGACCACTGTCACAGATGTTCTGCAAAGTTGCCCACTTGTAAAGACTGTCCTTAAAATGTTCCTTTAATGCATCAAAATCTACTGTTCAGCTTTGGATTTGTATCATAACACAGTTTAACAAAACAGCAGAACCAATGCAGAAAGTGATTTGTGGGCTTGAAGGAGTTCAGCAAGCAAGGGCAGGGAGGCAGAGGCAGAGAGGAACCTTGTGAGCAATCAGTGATTGCTGATCAGGCAGGGCAGAGGAAATGCTGATGGGCTCACACAGTGATGCAGCTCTGCCTGCAGGGCTCCATTTTCACTCAAGTGAGTGGCAAAATGCCCAGAGAAAATGGACAGGCTGCAGCTGCCACGGGGACAGGAGACAGCAGAACACTCAATTGAATTACACAGAGCAAACAGAAGAGGCAGGATTTCAGAAATGCTACAAAAGAACACCAAGATGGAGAGGAGCCATGAACAGAAGGGCAGAGCACACAGAAGCCCTGTGCTGCCTTTGCAGCTCAGTCAGGAGCCTGTGGCACCTCCACTGCAGCAGGAATGGCACAGATGGGCCTGGGTGGTTCAGTGCATACCTTGCTGTCCTTGAGGCGATCTTCCTCTTTGATGGCTGGAATTATCTTCAGTGTGATTGACCCTTGAGACTGAGCCTGAGAAAAACAGAAATGGCTTTTTACTGTGAAAGCAGCACAGGGATACAGTGCAGGCTATTCAAGCTCCAGTGAAGGAGCTAGCAGCTGTCTCCTCAGAACTCTAACAGGCCAAACTAATCTATTTAACTGCATTACAGAGAACATCAGGATTTTCCATGACTCCACAACAGCAATTACTTGGCTAAAACATATTAAGACCTGCATTAAAATTCCCTTGTTTGCTTTTAGCAATTGCATTAATTTCTGGGCTACACTTCAGAGTACATTACATAGTTCTGTGGCTTTTAGTACAACACTGACTTCAATTTTTTCAGACTAATAATTTTAAAGTGCTGCTTTGAAAAATACTGCTGTGTATTCTCCATACAGTGGCTAACTTGTTACGAGTAAAATATAAGCATCTACAAAATAAAACATCTACTTTCACTCTAGAAATCTTTGCTAGGAAATTACAATTATTGGTTATAGTAAACTAAAAAGCACTTCTGGGTCCTTCAGAAATCTGGAATGGGTTTATCTCACCAGAAATCTGGAATGGGTTTATCCCATCAGAAATCTGGAATGGGTTTAATCTCATCAGAGATCTGGAATGGGTTTATCCCATCAGAAAATCTGGAATGGGTTTAATCTCATCAGAAATCTGGAATGGGTTTAATCTCATCAGAAANGAATGGGTTTATCCCATCAGAAAATCTGGAATGGGTTTAATCTCATCAGAAATCTGGAATGGGTTTAATCTCATCAGAAATCTGGAATGGGTTTATCTCACCAGAAAATCTGGAATGGGTTTATCTCATCAGAAATCTGGAATGGGTTTATCTCATCAGAAAATCTGGAATGGGTTTATCTCACCAGAAAATCTGGAATGGGTTTAATCTCATCAGAAATCTGGAATGGGTTTATCTCATCTGTTTTAGATGCCTTATTTTGCATGAGACAAACTGTGTTTTAGAGAAGCCTGCAGTTCTGCACAGATTAAAAAGCAAATACAAACATTTGTAGCTTTTCTCCAAATAATAAACCATGAAAAAGAAAGTGTTACACTTCAGGCATTAACTCACATGGGTCAGTTGCAATTAGAAATGACACAGGACAGATAAAAAGCACCCCAAAATCCCCATAAATTAAACTTTACACACTATTTCAAAGTGGTTTGACACCCCCTGCCCCCCAGGTTAAAAGCTGTCATTGGCATTATTGGGATTATTTGGTCTAAATTGAAATGAGGTGATGGAAGTGACACCAGTGCCCTCACTGTGTCCCTAAATCCACACCAAGACAAGGGGAATCACAGCACAAGAGGGAAATCAGAGATAAAGAAGCAGAAGAGCTGCACCACTTTCTACCAAGATTTGTGGGTATTCATGTTAGAGAAGCTTGAAGCAGGAAATTGCTCATGTCACCAGGAATCTGCTGGTCAAGGACAGACTGACAGCTCTCCTGAACACACAGACCAGACTCTTCAGCTTCCCAACACATCCTCTAGGAGTGTATTTATAATTTGCAGCTTGCTTGCCATAAACAAAGCATTAAAGGGAAGTTCTTGACAGAGCAACATGTTAACTTTGTATTTGTATCTTACTTGGTACCAATCCAGTTCGCAGAAGTTTCTGAAGTCAAAAGGAGAAGACTAATCCACAGGGAGAAGAAAAACTCTTAATGCAAAGACAAGCAGGGATTGCATCTTTTAGCTCTATATTTTAAACTCATGGTTAAATTTCATCATCTACTGTAATTACTAGATCACCAAACAGAAAAGATCTTGAAATGAAAATCAGTGCAGACCAAAATCTGACTTATTTCTTCTGGTCGTTTGTGAAGCACAGTAATACCATTGACTTCTCTTAGTTCATCTCCAACATGGACAAGACCTGAAAAGATGGTAAGGAAATTAAAATAGGTCTAGAGACTGGAAAGCACCACTCCTCTGATGTCCAGCCTAAATCATCAGCTTGTACTTCCTCTGCTCCCTCATGCAGACTGATGGATTTACAACCAAAGCCTTTGTTGGAAATGTGCCTCAGTCTCCTGCCTTTACTCCTAATGGCACTTTCCTTTCCATGCAGCACAGCCTCAAAGGAGAGCAGCATGCACACAGGCAAGGAACCCTGGAAAATCACTCTTTGGATCAGTATTAAGTATACAAAACTGGAATAGTTTCATGAGTGTGCCCAAATCAGGAGACACACACAAAATAAAGGCAGGAATGACATATCTGTCACCTGACAGATCAATACTTCACACTCACAGAAAGAATGCTGCACTCAATTTTTTAACAAGCCATGAAAAGACTCTACAAGATTTAGATTTGTTTATCCAGTTCAATAAGAAACGTTGTACTTGTCATAGATATAGCTACTATTAACTGACATAAAATAAATTCTCAGTAAAGCAAACAGAAAACAACACACACACTGAATAAACCAAGCTACCAGATTAAAAATTAAAAACATTCTTTGCATTTTTCTACAGCTCAAACATACTTCTTCCATCTCTGTTTTCATTTTTTCCTAATAAAAAGCATATGTGATTAGATGAACAGGTTACTGATAAACACAGAAATGCTAAGAGCATGCTCAGGAAACTTCCAAATTTAAGAGGTTTCCAAATTGAATTCAGAAATGAGCTACTGCAATCATACCACTGCGATCAGCTGCACCACCCCTCATGATCCTGGCTACAATCACAGCTCCTGTGTGCTCATCTCTTCTGATGGTGGCTCCCTGAAATAAAACAAACCCCCCACCCCAAAAAAGGTCAGAAATTTACCCTGAATTCAGCAACCAGAGAAATAACATGTATGCTCCAATATCTTTTAAACTGGAATTAATTTATTCTATGATTTTCCTCTTTCTCCCCGATGATTTCCAGCATTACTCAAGTTTTGCCCATGCCAAGTGATTATGGGAAGGTGCATCCACTTTCCTTTCTGCTGCCTTTGATTATTGTGGTCATCAAAGCCACTCAAGTGTGCAAAACATCTTATTGTAACAAATTCTTTCTCCTCCTTTTCTGAATCGTTATACAATACAGTCAGCACTTTTATATGTAAAAGAAAAAAAGCCAAGTAATTGGATTTTTTTCCTCCTCCTACCTCTGCTGGCAATACAAAGCTTTAATAATTTCTTTCCCAATACAGCTGTTTTTCCTTAGGGAATCAATTCTTCCATTTCCATTTGTATAAAATTAGGACTTTGACAATATAATGATTATATATAGCTATCAAACATACTCTCACTGACTTTCATGCACATGAAGTCACTGAATGCTAGCTAGAGTATCAAAAGAATTAATAGATATAATCAGCATAATTGCTCCAACATATACAATTTCTTCACTGTTTCCTGGCATTATAAACTATGTCCATAAAGCAGCTAAATGTAAAATTGTGAAGGTGCATTTATCATTTACCAAATTGCTTTTTAAGTTACTTTATAAGCTTCAGAACACTCCAAATTTCTGAAGGCTTTTTGATGACATCTTGAAGTTTCTCCTCCATACTCCCAATAACACTCTTGCACTATAAAGTTTTATAACCAGAGTTGGGTGATCTAATATGTACCAAGGGTTCTTTATTTTTCACTAGCCGAACAATTTTCACTGATTCCTCATCAAAATCATCATCAAAATTATCAGGCAGAGGTGGAAGAGCTGGGTCAAAGTTCTTCTGTGCTACAGTGTCATGTACTACCAGCATTGCCTGCACAAAGGAAATAAAAAACAGTAATGTTTAAAAATGTAATGGAGTAATATCACAATTCCCATTCTCATCTTTCCAGTATTGCAGCAAAATTAAACCTCCCCCTTTCTTCCCTCACCACAAATCCTCCAAAAATGATTTAGCAATTACCTTACCCATCATGTAAACCATACACTGGTGAATGTCAATATTTAAAATAAAACCAAAGTGGACAATGAAAAGCAAGAAGATAGAATTTTCTTCTCCTTTTCTTTTCTGGTCCCTCAGAAAATATTAAGGAAGGGAGGAATGGAAGCCAGCATGGTGCATTATGCAGGAAAGCTGTCTCTTTTCAATTTTCTTCACATGCTAAAGTCTGTGCAGGAAATCCCAGTGGAATAGAAGTTTGTGGGAGGCTTCTCTGTAACTTTTCTGTTACAAAATGTTCTATCACAATTCTGCAAAGGCATTTCTTTAAGATCCCCAATGTGGTTTTTACCCTGAGATGTGGTGTTGACAACAGCTGAAGCAGCTCCTTTTCTTCATTATTCACTGGTGCTGTCTGCAACTCTTCTATTACCTTTAAAAGAAAAATTTACAACTTCAAAATTAAAGGAATTCACCAAACAAGGTCATGTATTTACATTTCTGTTGAGTGTTTGCTAACATCTATCATCCCTCAAAGCAGTGTGCACAGATCAAAACTGATCCCAGTCCACAGTGCATGGAACCTGAAAAAAACCAAAGTTTCTTTAGCTATTTTGATTAGATAGTACAGAAGATAGCATTAGGAATCAGAATCATAATCCCCAAACATACATTTTAAGAGTTATTCCATCAATAGAATTTCAGGAGTGAGTTCTGAATTTTTTAATTCCATATGGAATATATAATTGATGCGTGTTGTTTCAGTTTTGTTTTATTTGATAAAAGATTTTAAACTTGTGCAGTTATCCAGTATTACCTGTGTGGAACATGCAACATAACTTCCCTTGTTCCCCTGCAAAACCTGGACACCAAAATTTGCCCTGGACTCTCAGGCACTTTAAATGAGAGATGAGAGAAATAATTTTGGAGGCACTTCTGCACTGGGCTGGGTGGGTGGGAGGAGAGAGAAAGCAGGGGAGGGAGGAGGGAGGGAAAATGGGTTGAGACAAAAGAGATTTCCTTACCCTGCTAAGGGTTCTAAGCAGGGAACTCACAGAGCTCTATAAAAAACTTCCCTGCTGTTCTGAAGATGGAAGTGCTGAACCTTTTGTGGAGGTGGTGCAGGGTGTGTGGGACAGGGTGTGCTGCAGGTTCAGGGGGGCACTGGGGTCTCCTGACTTTGCAAAGGGAAATATTCCAGCTCCCAAACCTTCCACTGCCCCTTCCTATGCTATAGTAGAAAACAGTGCATGAAAAGAGCCAGAAAATGTTATAATAAAACCAGTTTGAAGCCTTCTGAAAATGGAATGTGCTGCTTTGTGTTGTCTCTGTCTCAACTATGATAATTCAGCACATAAAGGAGGCTTACAAGAGAGAGAAAAGCTCTTTACCAAGGCTTGTAGTTTTAAATTGAAAGAAAGCAGACTGGATACAAGGAAGAATTAAATTATCCATATTTAGATTGGATACAAGAAGAATTTTTTATGATGAAGGTGGTGAGATGCTAGAACATCTGCATGGTGAAATGCAGGAAACAAGGCTGCCAAGAGAAGTTTGAGATGCTCCAGCACTGGAAAAATTCAAAATCAGGATAACAGGGCTGTGAGCAATGTGATCCAGGGAAAGGGGAGCCTGCCTGGGGTGCTTAGATGGGGTCACCTTTGAAGGTCCCTCCAACCCAAAGCAAAGCAGAGCTGCCTGGGCTGGGATGGTTTTAAGGCTGAATGTGACTGAATGCTCAGCTGGGATATTTCCACACAGGGCTGAAGGATTTTTGCAGCCTCTCCCTTAGGAAAGTCATTCACAACATCCTTTCCTTCCACCTGAATGTGTCCATCTTCACTAAACATTTAATAACTTGGTATTTTTGAGCTCTCATTTCCTTGATTAATCATGGCCAACAGATTACAAAGACAGTTGGGGAAGATGAGAAATTTGTTCACATCCAGCACAATTGCAAAGCTTTGATTTGTTAGAAAAGCAGCTGTAAATAATAGGAAAATTAAGAGACAAGAATTTTTACTCACATCTTCAACTAATCCTGCTGCACTGTGTAAAACAGGAGTTGGGCTCTGTCTTTCATAATGCCGGAGCTTTTCATGAATCTGAAAAAAGATTATTCAGGGTTATTTCTACACAGAGATACAAAACTTGCTAAATATACCTACACTGGAATGTTTTTCTATTTAAAGAATATAATTTATCTAAGATGTGTCAGAAAAATAATCTCTCTTAGGGTTATTTTTGTTTTGTTTGGGACTCTTTGTTTTCTTTTTGCTCATGGTAGTTTCAGACAGAAAATCTGTAAAGACTTTAGGAGCATAAGGAAAAAATGAAGCCATTTCACATTACTTTTTAGCTATGGGGCACTGTATCTTCATTTTAGCAAGAAGAGCTGAAAAAAGTTATTTCTGAACAAAATATGCTAATTGTCAAACATTATTAATGTTTGTTCTTAAGCACACATATGTTTTGCTTGGCACAGAATTCTTAAAAAAAAGTTTGGCAAAGTAAATGCTTGATAAATCCAGTGAAGAGAGAAAAAGTAAACTGTAAGGAGAATGTACATAAATAAATATAAACTTTTACCTTCATCAGGTAGCTGAGACTCCTTTCACTGAAGACATCCCTCAGGAATCCCATTTCCTCTTTATGGTTTGAATCAGGTCTTAGCTGAGATGTCAAAAGGGCCAAAGTTTCGTGCAACCCTAAATTCAGATTCAGGACAGAACAAAAATATTGTACACAGGATTTCTCACTGGGCTTTCTACTGCAGAGTTAACAGTCACTACATTTATTTGGGGAAAACATTGGTGATCATCAAATTTGCAGAGTTTATCTTGTATTTATCGTGTTTATCTTGTGTTTATTCACCATTCATTTTGCCACATTCCCTTCATAAGTGGTAAACACAGCATCATATTAAAGCAAAGGCTAACAAAGCAATATATATATATTATATTTAAAAAATTACTTCCATATTTCCCACTTCATGTTTATCATGCTTTGTTTCCAGAACCCTTTGTTTCCCTCTTACAAATGTTGAATTTT